AAAAAAAAAAAAAAAAAAAACACTTTAGCAACTTTTTTTTCTGTTTTCACAGGAAAACCTCTGCAGCCTCTTGGTTCTCACAACGAGTCCAACTTAAATCAGTATGAGCCTCCAGCTGCAGGTTCTGACCCGGTCCAAACAAAGCCTAATGACTAGCTGTTAGCGGTTAGCCTCGTCACATCCTCAAACTCGCACTGAAACGTGTTCCAGTGAGCGGGCCGGGGTGGGGGCCGGCGTGGCCGCAGGTGAATCCACCGGAGGAGGAGGAGCTACTGCTTTCAGCTCGTTGCCGGGGCAGCTCTGGGTGCTGACGCCGCGGTTGAGGGCGCTGGCGGGCAGCGGCGCGCCGGGGTCGCTCCGGGGGATGTTGACGGGGCAGGAGCGGGTGCGGGCGTGGCCCTTGTGGCCCCCCGGGTGGCAGACGAGGCTGCCCACGGTGTCGGCGGGCGACAGGTGGCGCCTGAGCCAGCGCTCCACCCGCTCCTCCTTGTACTTGATGGAGTACCAGGTGAGGAAGATGAAGAGGAAGCCCAGGAACTTGAGGCTGGCGGCCAGGCCGAAGTAGACGAAGCGCAGCGAGGTGACGTCGTACTCCCAGCAGGAGCCGTGGACGCCGCAGTCCTGCTGCCACAGCATGCAGGTGGTGTCGATGACGGCGCCGAAGTAAATGGGCGTCGGGATGTAGGCTGAGCAGGAGAGGAGAGGAGGAAGAAATGAGAGGAGGAGGAGGGTGTGGGGACGTAAAGACCAGAGAGAAAAAKATAAGAGTGAAGAAGGATGTCAGAGGAGAGCAGAAAACAAAAGATTCAGCATTTTATTCAAACGTTTTAAAATCAGTTCATTAACTTTGGTTTCTTCTGCACTCAGAGCAGAAAGTGAAGCAGTTATCTGTGAGTCGTTCTCCTCTGCTCTGAGAAATATTTTGAACAGGAGCAGTGGTGGGCACCAGCCCGATAAAATGCAAATCTGCTAATTGTGGACCTAAATATTTCATTTGCTCTTTAGCGGTTTTATGCTTTATAAAATTAAAATGCTGTACCGCTAATAACTAATTATCTACCAGTCATCATTATGTTGAACAGCAGAAGGTATGACTG